TGTTCAGTGCCTTAGATAACTTTGCGCTATATAAATAAATTGAATTGAAAATCAAAGAAAATGGAAACTGCCATTAGTAAAATTAGAATCATCAGTCTAATAAAATGAGGTAGGAGTAACATCCAAATACAAACTAATAATTTCTCTTCTTGGTTGTCACAAGGGGAAGCCAAAGAGCAATCAAAATACCTCAGGTTGCATCTTAATATGTCCTAAAGTTCTCTAAAGATGAATAAAATATCTGTTGGTAAGAGATTGATCTCTTCTTACACGCCCTAACAAATCTAACTGAATAACTAGTTTTTTACAACTACACAGATGCAAACATGCACCATCCTAGGAGTCAGCAGAGTGACTGAGCCAAGTAAGCTTTCTGGTCTTCTTAGTGAGGTGGGCTGGAGAAATCCCTGCCACAGCAACACTGGCAGGAGATGAACACACAGTAACACAGATTATACTCTATGCTGCTGGGATGACAGAGGACATGTGAGAATGATCAGATGAAACATGAACATGTTGTACAGAATGCAGTAATTCTGCTCTTCCTAAGCTGAAAAGTATATTATCTCCTAATTGTTAAAATAGTACATTAATCATACCTTTTATTAGTAAGAACAGTCATTTAAAATGACAAAACTGGCTTCTTGTTAAGGTACAAGACATGTTCTGCTATTTTTTTATGATGGGGTGACATATATAAGATTACTGTCTTAGACACACACACACCAATCTCAAAAACACTATACTTTATCCCTTTGTCTTTGCTTTGTTCTTCTATATCTTGCCATCTACTCCTGTATTCCCTGAGTCTCCTATCGCCTCTTAGGGCAGGTGTACTGGGCATAAACAGGTCTATGCAAAATGTCCCGGGCAGTGGGGACAAACTGCTCTCATTCATCTTCCACTGTGGGGGGGTCTATCCATCCTGGAGATGAAGGCAGAGCAATTCAAAGCGTAAGCGACTTGATTTTTCACGATTGCAAACAGAGGATTGATGGATCTTTGTCAAGCAGAACTTTGGATCCTGAGCATCCGTCATTTTGTCACATCATCAACATTTGATGGCCTAAGTGATGCTGTTTATTAAACCTAATCGTTCAAATGACAAGCAATTTGATTTCTTCGATATAACTGTACTGAATATTGGGCTATTTTTACTAAAAACATTTAGTCTCGCTTCCAATCCGGCGTTAGCATGGGTTGTCTGGACACTGAAAATAATGTCACTGCTGCTGGATATGTAAAACTAAAAGGAGTCAGACTATTTTAATGTGACATTTGCTAAATTTGCCTCATGCTGTATTTGTTTGTCTGCTCGTTGGTGTGAAAATGTCTCGGCCTCGGCAATTTGCAGTGTTTTCCGCCAGCCTGAATGGCACAGATGAACACAATGCTAACAGGTACGCACAAGCAAATCAGTCGCAGATTAAGCACAATTCGGTGTTGTGATTTATTTTTGTGCAAACTGGGTTATTCCTTATTAGACCATGTTTATTTCTTGAGATAACTGCTGGAGCAGTTTCCTTTTTTCCCTCATGTGTCTCAGAGAGAGCCGCCATCTTTAATAGAAGACGAGCAGACTCTATGCAGACTGTGTGCACAATGCATGCTGTCTCTGTACGATTAGTCTTCATTGTTTCTCTTACTAAACAACTCTCAGTGCACACTGGACGTCACTGTCTCATCCTTTCTCAAGTTGAATTCGGTCGTTTTTTAAATTTAAGGCCTAGCACTCCCGTCAGAAAACCTCCTTTCATGCCAGAAATTTGAACTAAAATCGTCTTGCGCTGAAAATAGATGTCATGTGTGATCTAATGCAATATATTGTGAGGCCTCAGAGAACAAAATGTGTTGAAGATGACTCTCAGCACATAACCCAACAATTTAACTCAATATTTGTAAAATCGACCGAGTTATGGTCATTTTTTATGATCGCAAATGTTGATTCTCTGAGGCATACGTGTGGCTGTTTTTCTCTAAAAGTGTAATGGAGAAGGACAGGGTGTTAATTTGTTGTGTACATTTCTGTCAAAATACATGTACACATATTCCTTTGGGGTGCGTACCTACAGAAAGTGTGTATTTGTATATTTGACAATGTGTTTGCAGTACCTGCCGTCTGGCACATTCCACTAATATCCAAACAGGTTTGAAATCACAGGAGGATTCTCTACAAAGCAGAAAGTAATATCTTCTCATTGTGACTGTCACAAGTTGCTCACATCCTGACTGTGCCTCTACCTCTTTAAGAAAACTGCAGTGAGAACCAGCATAGTTGCAAAACGCTTCCTTCATCTTCATGCTGCACATCCTCAGTGCATCCTCGGATGCATCGTTTCCAAACAGCCTTGCTCAAATCCTTTAGAGTTCAGAACTTTTTTTTTTTTTTTACCAATGCAAGTATTGCAAATTAATAAGTCAACAAATCCAACATTACAAATAGCAATTCCTTTGATGTTGCAGTTTATTACTCACGGTTTCTGGGCTTGTCATCGTCTAATCCCTCCTCTTCATTCTCTGGGTCAATGTCTTCTGCCTGAGTGATCCAGTCTAAATAGCCCTACGTTGGTAAACACAGCGAAGGGGAATATTGATTAGCCAATAATACAGATAAGAGCTTTTAGACTCTTTATTAGGTGTAGAAAGTCATTCTACAACTGTGTGGAATTTTATGAATGAAATATAATGGCAATTTAATTTGTTTGACTGCTGTTTTTTTTTTACACACAAACGGATATTAATAACAGTAATTACTACTCTATTTAAAATTTTAAGTTATCACATTTTTAAACCAAGTCTTATTAAGTTATTTATTTTTAACACTAACACATTAAGAACAAAAGAACACAGCACAAAATCCCCTCCCACACGGGATCAGTCACACATGCATAAATAGTCTATACATGCATTGACATGTTTTCAACAAATGACAGGAAAGGCTGCCAGGTGTCCCAGAATCGTCCTGCAGAACGCTTCAGGGTGTATCTGATTTTTTTGATACATCACTTCTCTTATCCAGTGTACAAATGCTGGGGGGTGTGAGTCCTTCCATTTGCACAAAATTAGCCTCCTGGCCATAAGAGAGCCAAAGGCAATCACATCCTTCTCACGTTTGCTGAAGGAGGTGTCCACTGGGACCACCCCGAACAATAAGATGAGTGGTGATGGGTGTACAGTCCTGCCATACACTCCAGAGAAGGTGTCAAAAATAGATTGTCAGAAGGTCTACAGCTTGGGACAGGTCAAGTATGTATGCAAGAGTGTAGCTGGAGTTTGTTTGCAACAAGTGCATGCAGGGTCCAGATCGGCCTTGATCTTGGACAACTTGTCTTTGGACCAGTGCAGCCTATGCACTACCTTGAATTGAATTACAGCATGTCTCACAGATTGAAGATGAATATATATTCTTAACGATCCTTTTCCAGATTGAGTCTGATATGGGTTCCTCCAAGTGTACTTCCCATTTCAGCTTAAGGGAGTCCAAACTAGACTTGTGATATGAACCGAGAAGTGTATACATTTTGTTGAGGATCCCCTTAGTGTCAGACCTGTACTCTAAAATCTTAGCCACAAAATGCTTAGAGAGATACAAAGGAAAACAGTCAAAATGTCCCAGCTGCAGACGACTAAAAAAGTTATAAGTTGTCACATTTTAATTAGAATCTCAACTCTGAGTTCACGTGCTTATTACTTCTAGGTCCCTGCTAGACAAACGCATGCAGAGGCACAAACCTTGAGGTCCTCCTCCAGTTGCTGTTTTTCTCTAAGTTTCTGGAAGTCACCGCGAGCCTTGGCCTTCTCTCTTTCCTTGGAAAACTCTCTGGAAAGGATGAGAGGGGAGCAGAAAAGAGGAAGACGGGAAACAAGACAAAGAATCTGAAAATCCAGATTGAAGGTTTTTGCCAAATGTGACAGTAATGTGATATTAAAAAAGTATTACACTTTGAGCATGGCGGAAAAGCTGCAAAAGGAAAAGTAGACAGAATAGCTCTGCTTAAGAGAAGAGATGTTAGTGCGCAGATGCAGATAAACAACTGGAGCTTTTAGTTTCCCTGAAGTGTCAGCCTTAAAGCAAAACCTTAAAGAAAGATCATCACTTTAAGAAAACAGATGAACAGTGTAATTTGCAGGTGCCTCTCTCTCGGCTGAGCCTCTGAAGCACCTCCCGGCCGAGGCAGCTGTCACGTTAACACAAGCAATAAACCACAGGAACAAAATGAAAGCGTATTTGTAGTGGTTGGAGTCTCCTGTTCTGATAGGTGGTTATATTGTAATGGTTTGGAGTTGCTGTATGTAGAGGTGGATTGGGCTTTGCGTCTCTTTGATGATCGTTCTTCCCCATAATGCTTGTATGCAGATCATTTAAAATAAAGTCAAACATAAATTTATACCACAGTAATATTGTCAGCAAGATTTTCTTTGGCTCATCTAGTAAAGTAAATTTGATAATGTGAAAGTCTTTGTACAAGTCCATTTCCATTGATCCATGATTTGTATCCAATTATTGAACAGCACGGGCAGTTTGAATTGATGCATGTAGCAGGAGCCGAATCAATGAGCCTGCTGTACTGGTGAGGGTGGAAACTGTGGCTGATCAACAGTGGACAGGACGGAACAAAGTAAAATAATCTGTTCGTCTGAATTTTTAGGTAATAACAGAATTTTTTTTTTAAATACGTTGATATTTAATGGGGTTTATTTCATCATAAGTGCCTTTCAAATCAGATCGAGATGTGTTTTGAGTCAAATTAACCCTTGATGGTCACTTTATAGTTATATATATTTTTTTATTTTGATGAGTTTAGTATCTTCTTTTTCTGATTTTTAAAAAATATATATCAAAGGTGATGTGGGCAATAAAAAAAGCTATGATAATTTCATACATTTAGTGCTACTATTAGATAATATGATATTTCATAAACTTATTTCCAAGTGTTGGTATGTAGAATGAGTTATTAAATAATTAATCAGATCCTACATTTGAGGAAGCTTGAAACAGACACAGCTTGAATAAAATAGATTCATGTGGATGATAGTTGAGCAGGGAGTCTTGGGACCTTTTTAAATCAAAAAGTCTCATTTAACTATTTATTTAAATACACTGTAGTCATAGTAGAAGCCTGTTGTGCATATTTTGCATGAAAATATCAGTAAATATACTTTAGGACAAACTATTTTATTGCACTTTGTCATTTAGGATTTGACTACCAGAGTGGAACTGTCTGAAGATGCGTTTTAGGGTCAATTTAATTATTCGTAATCCTGAATAAAAACTGTGTTACAGCTAGAAAATGAAACTGGCATATGTTCATGTGAAAGATTTGTGTGTGTGTGTTGACATGGACTCGGATGTGAGTCTCTTTATGAAATTTTAGAGGAATGACAGAAGCACAAACAGGCCGAAACTGTGCAACCTCAACCACACCAACACAGATCAATGAGTTTTTCTCTCGCTTGCCAGAACATTATCAGGAGACAAAGTCTTATTGATTTGTCTTCGTATACTCCATTCTGTCTTTAAACTGCATTTGTGCATGAGGTCCAAATTCTGAGGCTTCGTACTCATTTTTTTTATTCTCACCGCCTCACCTTTTTTTGTCTCTATTCATCTGCCGGCTGCTGTTAACTCGATTCTTTCTGTTCGCACATTACATCACATTCTGACAGTCTCACATTCTATGTTTATGTTCCCAAATTGTACCGTGGCTCTTCTAATTCATGTTTAGTCGTTAGTTACGATGCCAATCTGAGCGCCGCTCTCCTACCATGGAGAAAGCAGTTGGTAAAAGGTCAGGCTTGTGTAGTGTGCTGACAGCATCATTAGTCAGAACTCAAAGAGTCAAACAGCCAAACTCCTCCAAGGTGTTTGGACCAGATACACCTCTGTTCTTTTCTTTACAATGATTCTGTCACATTACCTGGAGAATCAAGTCAGACTCGAGTCAGGATTTTCACTGCACTGAAGCACATCATTAAGGAATTAACCCATGCGATCAAGCACATTAGGTGCATTTCCTCACAGGTTTTAATCTGCTTTACTGTACATCATTCTACAAACAGCATTTAGATGCACAATAATTCCTTTGTTTTCACTGAGGATGGCAGTGCTCTGTGCCACTACAGCAACAGGGAGAACAAAGCGTTTGGTGCTATTCTAGAAACAGCCTTGTAGTTTGAAAAAAGACAATACCCAAAAGGTCTCGATGGTTTTGAAGCCAGATGCGCTTGTAATTCCACTACAGTCAGCTAAAATCTACGAGCGGTGCACGTTGTTCACTTGGGCGAGGTCCAGAACCGAATGGTACCGTTCAGAAGCACATTCCAGTGCATGCATTAATTTATTTGTCATACACACCAGCAAGAGCAAGAAACAGCAGGAAAAAAATCAGTGGTGATTCTGGGCCAGAAACGAGTTATATTCAGACTACTATATTGACCCTGCCCTTACCCGCTCAACACCCCCAGAACCAAGTTTAACACAAAGAAGGATCCGATGATGATCAGGGTGACAAAATAGACCCAGGGCCACCTGTAACCTACTGCATCATTCACCTGTGAGATGGAGGAGTGCAAGATATGGACCAAGGAGAGGAGATGCAAAGAATTGAAGATAGAAAGTTGGAGGATGGGGGGGATAAAGGTTGAACAGGGATGAATTGAAAGTATATACATGGAAACAAGAAAAGAGCAAATGAGAAATTGCAAAGCAAAAGTGGGAGGGACGAGGGGAGGAAGGAAAGGAGTTAGATCCTGAGTAAAACTTGCGAACAGGTTCACTAGTTTTTGTTGAGTCTCTGCTGTTGGATTCAGAGTGTTAGAAACAAATTCAACATCGATGTGAAAAAAACGAGCCACCGTTTTAAACAGCATTTATTACATGGAGCTTTGAAAGGTACAAAAATAAAACGGCTCCTCTTAGAGGTCACTCGATGCAGACTGACGCAAAAAAGACGCGTCCAAAACCATGCACGTTAGGCTGCCTTCAGGAGCAGGCCCACCGTGAAAAAAGATCTGCGATCTTAATGAGATTTGCCTGTTTAAATAAAGGCTAATAATATAATAATAATTATAATAATGATAATAATAATGATAATGATTAAAATGATTATAAATATAATAATAATTATAATAATGATGGTAATAATAATAATGATAATAATAATTAAATAAAGGCTAATAATATAATAATGATAATAATAATAATAATGATTATAATTATTATAATGATAATAATAGTTAAATAAAGGCTAATAATATAATAATGATAATAATAATTATAATTATTATAATAATAATAATGTTAATGATGGTAATAATAATGATAATAATAGTAATGATAATGAAGATGATAATGATAAAAATAATAATGATAATAATCAAAATAAGAAGGTATGAACAAACATTTTTCTTTGTAAAAACACTTAAAAACACTCAAATAATCAAAATTTTGATGCAATCACTGTTGGGGGGGAAAAACAAACCAAAATAAAACTTTCCATTAGACACATGAACAGACTCTGCAGCAAGACTCCCAGGGACTAGTTATGATCACTGCCCTTGTGTGTAACAATCTGTCTTTTGGACTGCATTATATATTTTTTTGAGGTTTTTGTTTCTTGTGCTGTTTATTTTCTGTATTTTCTTTGTGTTTAGTTTGTTTCTTGTTCCTCCCCGTGCTCTCTGTGTTTTTCCACAGTCAGCCTCTGCTCCTCAGCCCCTCCCTCACACACCTGTCCCCTGTTGTCATTTTGCGCAGGTGTCTTCACTCTACTCACTCATCAGCCCCAGTCCGTTTATTCTCTTGGTCTTCCTTCACCCGCAGGCCATCATTGTGTCTTCTGCAGCCACAACAGCTTTTTTCTTGTTCAAAACCTTTTAGGTTTTATTTGGATTCTTTGCATCAGTCTGAATTTTTGTTCCAACCCTTTCACCAAACCTGACATCATGCCAAAACATTATTCCTCCATGACTTTATGGTTTTAGAATAGTTTCATTCAAGGAATGAATTAATTTTATTTAATCAAATTAGTGTCTAATTCATATTAGATTTAAAATATTAATTATTTATGCAATTCAATATTTTTTCATGAAAATTGTTCTCGTATTAGTTTTAACTCCGGGATGTGTGGGAGATCAGAAAACTTGTTGAAGTTTTAATGCACACCAGTAATTCCTGTTCTCTGTTTAGTTTTTCATTCCCATAATGTTCTGTAATGCCACATTTTCTCCAGATTCTATTCTGGCCTTGGAAGACTTTTTTTTTTTTTTTTGTGTCACTTTTTTGTTTTTACTTGTTGTGTTTTCTCTGTTGTGCAAGCATTTTTAGCTTTCCACCTCAATGGCTGACCTGAGGGGTGAATTATTTATACCCCTGTGTGTCCCTACAGACTGGGAGGTGCTTGTAAAACACTTTGACTTGGCAGAAGAACAGCAAAATAATGATGATAATCCCTCCTAAAAGAGACAAAACTCCACTGACCTTGCATAGAAACACACAAGCTGCATACACCTTGTATATTATTTCAAATGCATGAACTTTAAGTGATTAAACGGTAAAAAAAAAATAAAAAAAAAAACGAGCCTTGAGGAGTTTTGTTTGTCCATCTGTCCATCACTTACAAACCGTGACAGGATGTGGCCCCATGCGACTTTCTGATGTGAACATAACAGATAGACGTAGGGTGCAGCTTTGCTATTTTGGGGTGTATGTGCGAGCGCATGAGTGTGTTTCTCCCAGGCTTGTGACAAACGACTGATTGAGTGGAACAGAAAAGAGGGAGAGTGAAGGAGTTTGTTCAGTTCAGTGATTATCAGTTTGTCTTTCTGCAGCTGTTGTGCACTATATTCGTCTACTTGTGTTTAACTCCTGTTGCTTGGCTGAATACTGATGGATTTTAATCGCAATAATGCACATTTTACAATAATTTTGATCATTCTCGCCCACTAATTAGTCTTCCTAAAGCAATTTGCAGAAATTTAAGGGAGTCTTGATACACGATCAGTTATAGCATCAAAAGTTTCAAGTAAATCCACAAACAAGAACACACACGTACACATGACAACAGCATAAGCTCTTACCCGCTCAAAACACCCAGAACAAGGTTGAGAACGAAAAAAGAGCCGAAGATGACAAGAGAGACAAAATAGACCCATGGCAGCTCATAGCCCATAGCATCCTGCATCTGAGGGGGAGAGAAGAGGAAGAAAAAGAGGGGATTGATGGAGAAAAAGAGATGGAAACAAGAGAAAGAAACAAACATGAGGGGAAAAGTTAGAAAAAGAGGGAGGATGAAGAGTTGATTTGAGGACAGAAGAAGTCCAGCACAGAATGTGTTAAAGAGAGAAGAAAGAAGGTGACGAGCAGAAAACGACAACAAAAAAAAGAGGCATGCTGGTTAGAAAGAGTTGCAGATAAACATGTGGTAGCCAGAACAGTAAAAATGTGTACCTGTCTGAATATTTGATTTTATTAAATTTGGTGAGCAGTACATTTATCACCTACGATTAAAAACAAAAGCATCTGCTGTTGGAGCTTCAGCTTCTAAGTAAAAGTATGAGTCTAAAAAGTTTCATATAGTCTTAAAAAAAAAAAAACTGTCATTGAAATGTGTGCATTAACTTTTATAGGAAAACTTTTTGCCCAGATGATTTGTTTTGGGACACTATTTTATGGTAAATTAGTTTGAATGCTTTCAAAAGCAATATTGGCGCTTGGAATACTAAAGATTTTCAAAACGGCTTATGTGAACAAAATACAGTTTTTACAATCCAGGATAGTCAGATATGTAAATTCTAAGATTACCGTATTTTTCAGACTATAAGTCGCTCATTTTTTAAAATTTTATTTCATAGTTTGGACAGTCCTGCGACGTATAGCCCAAAGCGACTTATACGTTTTTTTCCCCTATTCATGACGCAATTTTTGACTGATGTGTTAAATGTTCATTCATACAGACATGAACTAAAGAGTAAACGTTACCATTTGCAGCTGCGAGACGGCCTTCTAGGCTTTTGACAACTACATGTTGTTCCTCTTCTGCTACCCCCATCTTTCTCCGGAGTTGGCGGAGTTGTTCAGAAGTGACACGGAGGATGGTAACTTGCTTGTCGAACTCGTTGGCTTGTTATATTAATTAAGCCTGTTCAGGATCCTGGGTATGGTATGATATCCCAGGTGTGCGCGTGCCTCAGGCAAACATATAGCTGTCGGGAGCTTAAGTCCACCGGGGCGAGCGTGCAATCTGTGTCTCTGCTGTGACAGACACAGACTCAGAAAAAGAAGGGAGGGGGCGGGAATGTCTGTCTTTCCCCATAGCTGCTGCAGCTTCATTGAGACATTGAGTGAGACCAGGCAAGAATGGCTTGTTTATTTAAAATAATAAAGTGCGACTCGAACCGAGCCTTTATTCCAGTCCCTCAGCGACCACTAAGCGGGCCAGGCCACCGGGAAATGTCCCGGCGCTCCCAATGGACAGTCCGTGTGTTTATTGTTATTTCAGATTAAATGTCTGTTCTTCCACTTTGTGAAATACACTTCTAAATAAATGTGACTTATACTCCGAAGCAACTTATTTATGTTTTTTTTTTTTCCTCTTCATGATTCATTTTTTGACTGATGCGATCTATACTCCGGAGCGACGTATAGCCTGGAAAATACGGTACTTAAGATAAAAAAAACATAATGTACAACCTTTGTCAAAAAAGAAATTCTAGCTTTTATTAAATGTTTATTTAGGTGTTTTCCTTATTAGAAAAGTTTTCATTTAGCAACTAATCATTCTGACACTTAAAAAGTACCTAATCTGTAAATAAGAACTAACTATTTATGAATTCTTAACAACATTTTTATATTTATAATCAAAATGAAAAATAATGAAAGGCATAAACAAGGAATGTTGATTCTTTTTTTTTTTTGCCTTAGATTAAAAAAAAAAGTTTGCCAAATGATTTATTCAGTGTTCACAGTTTTCCAAAGCGGACAGCATTGCAATGCATTTTTGTCATTTACATCTGCTACAAAAATTGGATAATCACAGATTTATCTAAATATCTTGGAAATTTTGGGCAAGAAGAACAACTTTACTATAAATGTGAGATCCAGTATTTATTATGGACTTTGAACTACAGGTTGCAGCTGATAGAAAAGTAGCAGAACGGGGTGTAGAGCTTGTAGGCTATCTGCTACATATGAACACACACACACACACACACACCCACACACACACACTATCCAGTATGAACAATAACGTCCATTTCATTCTAACTACTTTGAGAAAGATAAATTCCTCCCAAGTTTCATTGTAATTATTTTAAAGTGCCAATTTTTAATGGATATGTTGTTTTAAATATTAGTTTACTCATATTTACATGTATTTTTTTTTTTAATATAAAGACTATAATCCTTATTTACACCATATGAATGCATCCAGGTGTTCTGATTTTTCCATTATCTGTCACTGCCATGCTGAATATTCATCCATATGTTCTGGCAAACTCGCATAGTATGTAGTAAAACCAGCTATATAAAGAATAATGGAAAAATATCCATATAGTTTTGGTTAGTGTTAACTTTATATAATAAAAACATAATAAAAATCAGCACTTGTCCTGCTTGTGTGAAGCTTTTCTGCACAACCCCCCCCCCCCCCCCCCACACACACACACACATACACAAAACACAGTTCTGGTGTCCGGCTCACCCAGTACAGCACGTCCGTCCAGCCTTCCATAGTTATACACTGGAACACTGTCAGCATGGCAAAGGCAAAATTGTCAAAGTTGGTGATGCCCTCGTTCGGACCCTCCCATCCCATTTGGCACTTTGTTCCATTCTGCGTACAGTGCCGACCGTAAGCTACATCGGGTGCGCATGGTGCCGGCTTTTCCTCTGCAATGGCACCTGTGGATAAAAAAGGGAAGTTCTATTTACTGACATGAAAATCCCTTCACTCTGCTTTTGACCGATTCCTACACAGAGACACATTCTCAACACTAAATGCAGACATTATCAACTGGAAAAACTTAACTTTCACCAAACAGGACAGCTTTAATGCAATAACATCTCTTAACCAAACTATTCAAATAGTTTTTCTAAATCTCATCTCAATCATCCTTTTGTTTTTTGTTTTTTTAATAAAAGCTTTAACATTTCATCATTAATACTTTACTAGCAGAGTTGCTCACTGAGAATCCCTGCAGGGATTTATACTCGACTTTGAAAGTCAAAGAATTTCCAAAAGTTACAGTTTAAAATATATTTAAAGAAAAGCTTCCTCAAGGTTAAGCAGAGACAGTGAATTAACACAAACCAGAGCAGCTATGAGATGAAAAGTGCTAAACTAATTATGCAAAATAAACTCTTCAGGGTGATGTATAGGAGAGTTGTCTACCAGCACTTAACCCATAAAGAGAATGTCTCTCGCGGGACCAATAGCATCATCATAACAACCCTCATGTCCATTTACAACCAAACACGCTTTACTGAAAATAGCTTTGGTCATTTATGGCAGCTGCTGTTTCAGTAATTGTTCAAATCATTCATAGAAGGAAATTATAAATGATGATATGAATAATTAATCAAACCGTTTAAGGCATACACACTCCTTTATTTTCCACCTTGCTGTCTGATGGATGAAGTCCTGGATTTAAATGTAATACACACGTCACAGCAGCGGCAGTGTCTCTGTGTTAACTGTTTTTTGTTGCTTCTGTCGACTAAACTTTGGCGTGTTGGATGTGCGCATCTACCTGTTTGGTTGTGAGCGCAGGTCTTGTGCATCTTTCCCATGAAGAGCTCCAGGCCAATGATGGCGTAGATGATGATGACGAAGAGGACCAGGAGCGCGATATGGAGCAGAGGAACCATGGCTTTGATTATGGAGTTCAACACTACCTGTAAACCTGCACCACACCGAAAATGATTATGAATATGGAGCAGATGAAGATCTACAAATTACACTTTACAAATAAATAAATAAATAAACAAATAAATACCAGGAAGTAATCTGTGTAACCAGAAAAACTGTTTTTTTTTTTTTTATTCAAAAATTTTCAGTGCAAACAATAAAAACGTACTACAGTTGAAACACTGGTTTGTTTAAATCATGGGTGTCCAAAGTGCGGCCCGAGGTCCATTTGCGGCCCTTGGAGTGATTTTATGTGGCCCACAGTTGCATAGATTGATGCAGACTTTCTGCAAATTAGTTGGTAATTCTTTTTTATATGTTTAGGTTTAACAGCAAAACAATATTCTCAAAATGAGCAAGATTAAACAAAATACAAACATTTGGCTATAAACATTTTCTTTTCATTTTATGGTACAAATCATCAAAAAACTTTACTAATTTCTATCGGAAAAGAGACTTTTGGATAATAATTCATAAAACTTGGCTAAATATTGCAGTTGATAAAATAAAGAGGGAAGTTGGACATTTTTAAATGAATATAACATGGCATCATCTACGTACAAGTTGATCAACTTTGTAAAATCTTCTATGAATCTGTTGTAGCAAGTAACAGCTGGACGATTTTTCAGAATTTTGATCGGCCTTTTGTGGCGTCCATGGTCCAAAAGGCCGATCGACCCCCTTTTAAAAGGACACTTACTCATATTATGCTTTTGTTTCTGAGAACAGACTAAAATAAAAATTTCAAACACAAGAAAACAACAAATATAGAACCAACAAATCAAATAAAACAAATCATTTTGTTAATGAGGCTTTTACTGTTTTGTATCTACAATAATTTAAAACTCTTTCTCCACCAAAATTAATAAATTTTTGTCCTTTCTCCAAAATATTGTTCACGTTGACAGTTGAATTCACATTTTTGTGGCCCACGAGTCCTTTCATCTTGATAGTTTTGGCCCAGATATGAAAACATTTGGACATCACTGGTTTAAATTATCCATTTGTCAAAAATATTTCATGGCATGCTTTTTTTGCACACTTCTTATCCCACCAGTTAAATCAGAGTTCATGTATACAATCCCTCTTTAATTTTTGCTTGTTCTGAATTCATCATCTTCTTGTTAGATTCTCTGTAGGCAGCCGTAAGTAATGACTCCTGTCTATGCAACACAGTTACACTCTGGCACTGCGAAAGTATCACTAATATAGAACTACTTCTTTGTAGAAATTGAAACAAGCAATACATCTTTTTAAACTGCGGTATTTGTGTTTCACTAATAACTGTTTGGCATTTATTAATAAACTGGTCGAGGAAGCTTCAACCCACTGTAGGTGTTTCAGTGATGGAGACATTTTCAGACTTATTCCTTTATTTAAATGACTTAACTTGTTTTGCATTTAAGCTGTTAAAATTAAAATAAAAAAGACGTGATGTGGCTGCTTCTGACTCTTTCACCTTTTTCACCCACAGTTTGTTTCTTTCATACCATCCAGCCTTCTTTTATTGATTTCTGCAGTCTAGCTGACAGTTCATCTACTGCCCACAATGTTAAAATTTTTTGAAACACCACAAAAGCACTGAGTGCGTCTGTACATTAGTTTGTCTCTGATAGAGCGATGTGGCTCATTTCCCCCAACGCCACATCCAATCACATTTCACACCTGATCCTCAGATCATATTTTCTTTTTTTGGGACAACTTGCAGTACTTACTCGGTACTCCAGAGACCAGTCTGAGGGGTCTGAGTACCCTGAATGCCCTCAGAGCCTTGACATCAAAGCCCGCCGCCTTCCCTCCAATAGGAGTGGCCCCGTCTCCCTTTGTGGCCTGCTCCAAAATTGCACTGAATAACCTGTTGAGCAGAACAATCATTTCAATAACTATTGTTGTCACAAAGAATTTCACATTCACATACAAGGGATAAAAAAATATTGAAATAATACTATAAAACATCCATCATCTTCCGCTTGTTCCAAAGACGATTAATTTTTTTTTTGCATATATGAGATATGATTGATATATGATATAATGTACTTTTTGTCTCCTTGGGTAAATTGGTAAACACTGAATCCCTCATTGCCTCCGATGTGTGTCTCATCGGTGTAGGAATGTGATCTAAGGCATTGATGCTTGGTCAGTCATTTTATTGTTGGATGTAACTGGGACCTTGTGTACATAATTTCGCTCCACCACATGTACCACATGAGGTGCGAATGACAATAAAGAAACTCTGACTCTCTCTGACTCTGATTATTTTATGTACAGATCTAGCAGAGTGCTGTATGAATGGGTAAATGAGGACACAGATTGTGTTGTAAAGAACTTTAAGTATCTTGATCAGATAGAAAAGCACTATATCAGTATTGTTATCAAGAGTTCAGTAATCTGACAGCTTGTGGGTAGTAACTGTCTGTCTTTTCATGCACAATAGGAGGCTTCTGTATCGTCTGCCTGAGGGTAGTAGATGGAAAAGTCCTTGTGCTGGGTGGGTGTGGTCCTTAATGATGCTGCGTGCTTTACGCAGACATCGGCTGTGGTAGATGTCCTGGATGGTGTGGAGACTGCTACCAGTGATGTCCTCTGCTGTTTGCACCATCCTCTCATTTAAAAACATTACTTAAAGATTTAAATGCACGATAAGTTAATTTGTTGCCAACCTTGGTTGCATTAACTCTTGAAAAATTTAAACTCAGAAGGGGTCCAATATTAGAAATACTTAAGAGGAAGAAAAGCAATTCAGTTTTTATCTAGATTTAAATGTACAAGTACAAGAAGTTAACTTTTTTACTCTGATCCTGAGAATAAGCGGGGGGTTGGGGAGTAAGTGTTGAGTTTGTTTTATTAGGGAATCGCAAGCCAATTGTGTTAGATCAGAAGTTTGTGGTAACCGTGGATTGCTTTTAATGTGTCTACATTAAAGTGCCCACTGCGTAAAAAAAGGTCTAACCAAGCATATTTTGTTAGCTCGGTGTGAACACATGAATCACACTCGCAGTGACTCAGATGTTGTCACTAATCAGTCATGGCCATCTGAATGGGAGTAAATCCCACCAGCAAAGGCACGGGAACGTTCAGAAAACTGGCTGAGAATTACTACAGGAGCAAAGAATTTCTAAAATCCATTAAAAAAAGGTCTTAAAGGAGGATATTCTTTAAAAAAAACTGACATTCAGTTACAGAGTTGAATGTGTTTGGAACAAATGTGCAAGATGTTTAACCATCAATTACTTTAAAAGCTCCAGGTGTCCACATATATCTGTCTGCAAGGCATAATGTAACAAAGTATTCTGAGATATCAAGGCAAATATATAATTTTTCAATAAAGCGCTCTTGCCCTCTATTTGCACTTGTCATTAGTAAGCCATTATCCTTGTTGTTCTTATTTACAGATCACTTTGGAGCAACTGGCTGACAAGCTTGAATTAATGTACATTCAGCAGCGCTTATTCTTCTTCTCTTTTTCTTTTGCTTTCTTGCTCTAAGATTCTTAAAAAACCACCAGCTTGCATGGCTCAAAGGCGAGTCAGTGGTGCGTTAGTCATGGAGAATTATCAATTAGCACAGATGAAATGGCCAATTGAAAAGGCCTCTCGAAACGTATCGCCCTCTCTGCCTCTCGCACTCAGCCTCTCCATTTCTCACTGCCTCCCTCTCCATTTGATTTACGCCGTGTCTGGATGGGAGGCACGCCTTTCAAACGGAGGATGATGAGTGCATCGAGGATTCACAATTTTGCACCACTAGCATTTTATTTAAGTATTAATTAAAACGTCTGAGGAGCAGCACATAATGGACTGTGTACACTGACAACTAAAGGCATTAGTAAACGTGTGCATTCAGAAAGAGAAGACAACTTGTGAAGTTTTTTTTTAGTCAGTATAAATGTCAAATCCAGAGGGTTTATTTCCAAACAAATAACAAATGTACTAAAAAAAATACTTGCATTCTCAAAAAAATACTAAACATTTGTCATAAAAAATTAATTTAATGCAGATAAATTAAACCTAAAGGCTTTGATCTGCAAAAAATTGGGTAGATGGTGAGATTTAAGGTGGCACGGTGGATCAGTTATTAGAACTGCTGCCTCTCAACAAGAAGGTCATCAGATCGAAGTTCTCTCCGTGCAAGTTTTTTTTTTTTCTTTTCTTTTTGGGTACTCCAGTTTCCTCCCACAGACAAAAAAAAACATGCGTGTTCGGCTGATTGGTAACTCTAAATTGTCCCTAGGTGTGAGTGAGTGAGTGACTGTCTGTTTGTCTCTGTGTCACTGTGATGGACTGGAGACCTGTCCAGGGTGTCCCCCGCCTCAGTGACTGCTGGATATGGGCACCAGTGACCCCCCCCCCCCAACCCAAAAAGAAGTGGATAAAGATAATGGATGGATGTTGAGTTTTTGGATTTTGTGCAAATGCAGATTCACAGGTTTCCAAAATAGCTTTTTTTATGACAACAAAATGAGCAGTGTTACCTATTGTACCTGTCATATGGTCATAATGTTTTGGCTGATCAGTTTATTTTAAGGCAGGATTTGTGAACTAAATAAATAAAAATAAAAATAAATACCGCACATGCAAAGATGAAAGAGATTGATTAGAGTGGACTGTAAAAAAGCAAAAACTATAAAAACCTTGTTACCATCTTTGCACACTTCCACACACTCGTGCGCACTGAACCTTCACTAATCAGTTCCTAGGTGTGTGTGTGTGTGTGTGTGTCAGCAAGAGCAGCAACTGTGTGTATGCGCAGGTGTGTGCGTTTGGAGGTGTGTGTGTCCTGAGGCTGCTCAGCACCAGGTACAAGCTCTTTCACCCATATGGTGAATATTCCACGGGGAGCGAAATCTTGTCGCTTCTCATCTGTAGACGTGCACACACACTGACGGTCTGACACACACATACACAAAGACATGAGTGCTCAGTCATGCACACACAGAGAAACAGTCCCGTCACGGCTGGCGTAGTCCTCCATGAGAGCAGAACATGGAAGCTGAGCGTATTTCAAAACCAATTTATGATTTTTTTTTTTTATCCCTTTTAGATTGGAATTTTTCTGTGACAAGTTTAAAATGCAGATTTTTACAAATACGTTTTCATACCCTTTAACTTGGGGATTATTATGAATAACACAAATTATTTTCACTATTTTTACGCCACAGTACTATAACCTGTATTTAAATTACAGGTGATCTACAGTATAAATAATAACTTTTTATTCCAAAAGTGTTTTTGTGCACAACTGAAGTCAAAAAGAAGAGGACAACCTAGTGACTCCTCGCTGTATGTTTCATATTTATTGAAAAGGAATACAGCACGTGCAGGGGTGGGTTGGTGAGAAATCTCTATTCACTGCTTGTTTTTGACCTTCTGAACTGCTTTTGGCACGATTGCAAGGACCAGTCTATTTACTTACAGAGATCAATATCATATTACTGCACAGCAAATAACGCGGCATCACAGTACAAGCCACAATTCAAATGCAGACGGAAAGAGACACAAGCTGAGAGGGGCAGACAAAGAGGGTGGATAGCAAGAGTGTTAAAGGTTGTGTTTATGCCAGGGGCACTGGCACCATGTTGCAGTTGGTGTGTGTGCTTTTATGGGGTGAAGCCAAACGTGTTCAGTTGGTGATGGGTAATGTGAGTGAACACTTGACTGGCAATGAACAAGACTTGCTCAGAGTGTTTGCGACTCAGCTGTTGCGGCCTTCCTTGAGGCTGAGGACTGCTTCACACACATGCACAAACGAGTATGCATGCACACTCAATTAAACAATTTTTATGGCATTAATTTAATTGTCAGGTCCGCTGACTGTAGTGGCATTACCCCTCCCTGCACAACACTAAACCCAAATGGCAAAAAGGCGCATGCGTGCAAGCAGATGAAAACACACATGTACAAAAGTGTGTGTGTGTGGGGGGAGAATAGGCAGATAGGCTTTGTTGCTGAGTTGCAGATAAAGCAAAACAAAGCAGGGCTTTGCTATCAGCATCTCACAAACTAATCAGTTTACCAGTTCACCACTGCTCTGCAGGCCAGATTTGACTGAGGCTTTAACGCAGGGCAGTTTAATCACAGTGAACAAAGACGAGCTTTGCAGATGATAACAAAAAAAAGTAGTGTACAGTACAGTCGTTGTACAGCTGCTTTATTCTTCTATACGAGAAAAACAAGCCCCCAAGTTGCGTTTTCTCTTTCGCAAGAGTGTGAGTTTTGCAAACCTGTTGCATTTCCGCACAAATAGACAGAACAAAATGTTTTCGGGAGCAGTTTTAATTCTTTTGTCACTCACCCTACAACTACGATGATGAAGTCGAGCAGATTCCAGCCGTTCCTCAGGTAGGCGTTGGGGTGGAAGAGCAGGCCGTAGGCTATTACCTTGAGGAACGCCTCCACTGTAAAAATGATTAGGAACAGATACTCCACACGCTCCTGCGGACACACAGAAACATGACAGGGCCATTTATTTATTAGGGAAGAAGCTTCTCAGAACTAAAGCAGATAATATAAATGTAAACGGAAGACGGAAAAATGTTCTTGAAGTTTATGATTGCGCTTAAAAGGCGGGGACATAGAATGAAACCTTCAGTTAAATGAGACAAATGCCAAAATGTGTGCAGTCTAAATGCAATAGATTATTCTTGATTTTTTTTTAAGTGCACATTAAAAAGGCTGTTATATAAACTCTTGTTTTTTACTCCTACATAAAGAATTATGACCAAGTACATAAGTTGTGAAGACTTGCAGTGCTGGCCAGTTACGCTGCTCCTCGTCTGAGTTTCAGTGCCTGAACAAGATGTTCTCTTGCTCTTTTCCAAGATTTTGGCTTGTGTGTCCATCTGTGTGTGTGTGTGTGTGTGTGTGTTATTTATACTTAACCTGTAATCGTGTACACAATCAAAGCGTTTTGATTATTTAATTAGAGCAACTAGCTTCCGGTCCCTCAAGGCCACTGTCTGATGCACAGAAAAACACACACAGATGTCCACGAGCGCTATTTCTTTTACAGTGTTCCTCAGAAATCGTTGTCACAGCAACGACCTTCTTCCCAGGGTCCTGGGAAAAGTCCTGAAGTGGCTTAAAATGGATCTTGTAACTTTCTGATTCTTTGGTGGCGTTGTCAACAATTTATCATGAACTTAATCGACTGTCACGTCTTTGTCGTTGGCTTGGAGCAAAAACGAGATACAGAAATTTTTGTCCACGTTAATTCCTGGATTCAGAGGTATCTTATGCAACAAATAGCTTACAAATATATTTAGCTGTGTCCATCAATCTGCCATTTCATCTCTGTCTTACTGTTTTCCCATGGACCCCCATGTGTAGAGGGCCAGAGGTTTGGGACAAAGGGCCAGTCAGGTCCCTCCAGACTTCAGCCTCTTCCCCTGGGAAGGATCAGCTGGACCTGAACCTGGAGTAACATGGCTTTTGCATGTGTTCAAGTTTACTATAATAACTTCACAAGTCAACAGAGTTGTCAAAAACATGAAAAGCAGTGATGATTTAGACCAAACAGCTCTGATTATTGTATGCAAGGGTTATAAATATAACAATATGAACATAGGCAAACAGTAAAGTATTCAAAACTTCACTGAGCCCACTTTTTCTTGTATGTTTTTACTATTACTATGTTTGGAAAGATCCCAAGTTTCCACTTTTACTTGTTTCTAGATTGCCTGGATCAAGTAGCCCACCTCCCATGACAATTGTAGCGATGAATGCCAATCAAAAGAATTTCTGGCAATGTCAATGTCAATTTGTATATAAATCACATAAAAACAACAAAAGTTGACCAAAGTGCTTTACAATAAGAGAGGTAACAAAAGTGTGAATCACATTTTCAAGGTGTCTGAAAGGGAGATATGACTTTACCTTGGCAAGGAGTCTTACTTGGAAGAAACTGGATTTCACAACTGCTCGAGTGGTTCCAGTGGAGCGGCCCTATCTGACTTAATGGGCAAATACAACTGAATATTATCGGCAAAGCAATGAAAAGGAATGCTATATTTTCTAAAATTGGACCCCAAAGGTAGCATGTAAAGGCTAAAAAGCAGTGGACCTAAAATAGACCCTTGAGGAACCCCACAGATTAGAAAGGCGCAGATAAATAACATTACCCTAAATGAACAGAAACACTGTCAGTCAAGTAGGATCGAAACCAGGATACAACTGTGCCTTTAATACCAACCACCTGCTCAAGCCATGCCAAGATGTTTTGGTCCACAGTATCAAAGGCAGCAGAAAGGTCTAAAAGCACAAAAACAGCAGAGCTTCCTGCATCAACGGTTAATAAAAGGTCATTAAAAACTCTTACACGGGCTGTCTCTGTGCTGAGGCCTGATTTAAAACCCGACCTGCCCTGTTGTTGGCAGTTAAAAATCTCTTAAGCTGATTAAAAACAATTTTCTCTAAAATTTTTGACAGAAATGGACATTTAGAAATAGGCCTATAGTTTAAGAGCACTGTTGGGTCAAGGTTTTTCTTCTTTATGAGTGGCTGCACCACTGCACGTTTAAAAGTAGCTGGAACACAGCCTGATGAGAGGGACATGTTAATCAGGAGAACTAATGGACTGAAAGTGTGAAAGCTTCCTTAAACAGATGAGAGGGAGCATGTGACGTAGAAGGATTTTAAAAAATTGTTAAACAGCAAAAGTCACCGGCTCAAAATGTTCGAAGGCAGCTGAAGACAGAGGAAGTAAAGAGAGGTCTGTGTGAAATTGAGTTGTAAAGGGTCTCTGAGCAGAGATTTTCTCAATAGAAAACTTTAAAAACTGTTCAGGAGATTCATCATCACAAAGATTCACAACAGAGTTACAAACATTAAAAAGAACCTGAGGTCTGTGACTGTTTTAAACCGCAATAGATAAAAAAAGCAGCTTCAACAGCTCTCTGGTCATTTAATAAGCTGTCTTTAAAGGTGTCCAGTGAAACTTGCTGTTTGTCCTTTCCCCATTTTCTCAGCTGCCTGCACTGACATCTAAGAGTCACATTGGTGGCTGAGATGGAGACTTTGTCCGTTTGATTTTTAGTGGAGCAACAGAGTTCAGAATGTCAGTACATGAAGCGTTGAAGAGATCAGTTAACGCGTCCATGTTGGAAAGAGCAGAACTGAGGGTTGCAGAAGACGAGGTCCTTAAAACCCGTGGAGAAAAGCAGCGCAGTGTTGGAGGTGACTGCACGTGCAGAATGCACAGATGATCCAGTTCCTTGCGAACAGAAACGATTGCAGTGAACAGAACAGTTGGTTCAATAAAAGAGCTCCACCGTTGACACATTTATTCCAAAACAAAACAGTTTCTTAAAGAAATCTAAATGAGTTTTTCTTACTTCTGTCAAAAAAATTAGATTAGGACGGGGGGGGGGGGGGGGGGGGACCTAATTTGAGAATCCACCTGTCTGACGTAACACCAGTGGTTACACAGTCCTCACCGTTCAGTTAGTGTTTGGGTTTTAATATCAAGTTTTAGGAAATTTGAAAAAAAACAAAAAAAACCCTGAAATTAACCAATAAAAAGTGACAACAGATTACAAGTGCAAGATAATGTGGGAACAAAGGAGATTCCCAAACAGACCAAGGTTCATCAGATTTATTTACAAAGCTTTGGAGAGCAGTCCAACAATTCACAGAACATGCAAATACAAGATTACACGGTTAGTGCTCTCATCCATGTGAAACCCTGTCCTGCTCTAACTTCCTGAACCAGACAAGTTAGTTTTATAGAATAACCTCCAGCTCAGGCCTCAGCTCCTCCCCTCCATGTCCGAGCCGCCATCGAAAGATCCGCAAGGAGTGGATCTGAGTCCAGGACTCTGCTTGAAGGCACGTCACCATATCATATCATCTCTATGATATCAATCAGCCCTTGATGATATCGAAACAACCAGTTATTTCTGTTCCTCACTGACTGGTCACAGTAAGAGTGACTACATGGAACTGTTAATATCACACATCACAAACATGAGCAGAAGGACATCGCAGAATGTTCCCACAGAAGACTTATTGATCATGATGAGTGCAAATAATACACATTGCACTGACAATAGAAAGCTCAGGCATACTTTTTTGTTCCCTATAATGTAATTTTCATGTAATCTGATATATTTTAAAGTGTTTTCCTTTGCTTATGAATATTCATGTCTCTTGTCAATGAATAAAGTGTCACCAGAATTAGGATTCGGAGGATTTAAGCGCTTTGAAAGAGAGAATTTGTAAAAGGCAATGAGGTATTTTTGTGGGGCAAGAGCATCTACACATGAACCTGAATAACAAAACAGTCTTGAACTTTACTCTCTGGCATCTTAAAGATGTAGATTAAGATTTTCTTCTTAAACACCGTCCTTTTTATCTATTGCTGAGGTACCTGTGTCAGTTGCAGAATCTGTAAAATGAAATCTTTTAAGCCATCATATGTCCTTCAGACACTCGCACACAGAGTTTATTAATGTTAAAGTAATTAATCTCATAAAGACCCCCCCGCACACACACACACATTCTGCCTCTCACAAAAGCTCTCCATCACTCTCCCCTTCTCAAACAAACACAGATACATGCACCCGAGTTGCGTATCTGCCGGTGACAGGCAGACAGTGTGGCGCTCGGAAGAATAAAACAAAGAGAAACATCTGGTAGGAACAGCTTAGCCTGACACACACACGGACACACACCTCCCTTCCTCCTTTCATTCCATTCATACAGAGCCATAAAGGGAAAAATCCATAAGGGGAACGACTAATTTGGTTAGTGACAGGAATGAAATGAGAGATAAAAGATGAGAGAAAGAAGGGGAGGAAGTGAGAGGAAGAGAGCCAGAATAAAGAGACTGAGAGGGACAAGGAGGTAGACGGAACGAGTGAAAGGTGTGGGAGCAATAATTGAGTTAACAGTGATAGGTCAACCAAACCACCTATCCATCAACTGGACCAATCAGATTACAGTATTGACATCCTACCATACAGTGTGCAATGTTTCCATCTGAGATGACCTTCTGTGTTTGGGTGCACGCTGCAAGACAGGATTAGCCATTAAGCTGCTTTTGAAAGATCCCACAAACGCCTCATATTCGGTGTGTGCGTGCAGACGTTGAACACACTGTACCAGCGACTCGCCCGTGAGACTCAAAGCAGAGCGAGTAGTTCAAAGGTAACTTGTGAGCCCATTCAGTATGTCAACAGAACATACTGTGGAGACCAAAACAGGTAGCAGGAGAGTTTCAAATCCCACCATGGACGGTGAATTAGCTTTCATCAATTTTATATGAAGTAAATATCAAAAATTATGATCAACAGGTGGAAAATCTTAAACTAAGTTCACATTTTACATAAAAACCCAATTTTGTATTTTAGGAAAATCACTATCAGCTCATCCTGTATGTATGCCAATCATTTATTTAGGTTCATTTTAAACTGCGCAGGATTTACTGTATTTTTTCT